GAATGGCCATTCATTTTGATAAGTATTTACACTGGCCATCATTCAATAAATCTATAAAAATCAAAGTCCACACATTAAAACATCAAATCTTAATAAATAATACTAATTGCATGAAACATCTTAACACACACTGTCAGTATAAACTCTAAGAACTAACTCTGCTTTTATATTTTAGAGTACATCTAAAGTTAGACTTTCATGTTTGATTCTTTAGTTTAAAGTTCTGTCTAAAATTACAATTTAAAAATATCTCTAGATAAGATTGAAGTAACTGCAAATGAAACCTTGTCCTTCTGGCTGAGTTCAGATAATCAGAGCTAAGGTAGCAACTCGTTTTACATCATTAAAAAGCAGGAGTTAGGCTGATGCGGCACTAGACCACTAAGACAGCCAACTTTTAGTCCAGTGCTTCTCAAATAGTGGGGCGGGCCCCCTTTGGGGGGCGCGGTGCGATACCTGGGGGGGCGTGTGATCCTGGGGAACAGGCATTTTTTTGGCCGAACTAGTATAAAGTGTAATTGCGCACAGTAGGCAGCAGTGGCGCTCTCATTGTTACTTCTGTCACGTTTGCGACAGTGCAACATTTTACGACTTACAAGACAACAGGTTTGCCTTGGTTAGCAGTGTTAAGTCAACAAAAAGCTCCGACTGCGTTCTGTCTATGGCCTCCGTTATTCAACAACCCCCAACATGAAAAAGTTTTTCACAGGGATGAAAAGAAAAGCGGAGAGAGACAAAGATAATGAGACAACAGAAAGTCAACCGAAAGCTAAGAAGAGGAAATACGACGAAGCGTATTTAGCGCTTGGCTTCACTGTGACTACAGTTGGAGAAGAGGAAAGACCGGTGTGTTTGCTGTGTCTAAAAATGCTCGCAGCGGACAGCATGAAGCCAAATAAATTAGCGCGTCACTTAAATACGTTACATCCCAATCACGCCGATAAGCCGCTAGAGTTTTTTCAGCGAAAAAAATGTTAATAAGGAAAAAATGTTATGCAGAAATGGATAGTCACGGTGGGGAGTGGGGGGCGCGAATAGTTTTCTTCTTGCTAGGGGGGGCGTAACGGAAAATAATTGAGAAACACTGGTTTAGACCAAGTACAAAGAATGGGAGGAGTGGAAGAAATTCTTTATGCCACAAAAGAACAGTAGAGGGTGTCTTCCACTCATTTTGTCTATAATTTTTTTTTCCTTTGGCTTGCTTCATTTGCTGTCTCCTCCTTCTGAAGCTGGTGGGAGCATTTGCTGCTTTTAGAATAATTGACAAAATGATTGCAAAAGCCTGCAGCTCTCAGGAGATGCAGGCTGATTTCAGGAGCCGGTGCAGGGCTGGTTTACAATACCTAATAAGCGTTTTCATGGCGTCTCGATCTTTAATTTTTTCAAGGTTTTGGTTCCAAGGTTGCTTTTCACAAAACAAAAGAGATCAGAAAAATGTTTAAATGCAGAAGTGGGTAAGAAACACAATTTCAAAAGCCACATTGTGGTTTAGATGGAGACTGTAAGTGGGAGGGGATGGCAAGAGGACAAGTCAAGTGAAAAATGAAGATGAATAGAAACTATCAAGAGGAGTTTGGAGTGAGATTGAGTGTCAGTTTATTTGCAGAGGAGAAAAATGGAAGCCAGATGACAGACAAAATAAGTTATCAAAAAGGGTCTCTGCAGGTCAGAGTGAGGGTTGGGAGATGTACAGATTCTGTTTGTGTGTGTGTGTATTTGTGTATGTGGCCACCTATGATCGAAACGCCCACTTAGTTCATTTCCAGTCCAGCATAATTTCTCAAAACATGTCTGGAGGAATTCTCAAGTTGTGACAAGTGACGATTTCTATGTTTGGGAGCTGCACTAATGGCGAGCTGGTGGAAGCTGGTATTTAACTAGACTTTCACACATGCTCTTTTAGTCACCTAATACTGAGACCAGTTGACATTTTGGAAAAACACAGCACAGAGTTTGAATTCTTCCACAACAGTGAATCTTGAGTCTCTAGAGTTGTTTTCTTTTATTCTGTTTGCAACATCAAGTGATTCCCGTTCAGAATTATTCAGTGCTTAATACTTTATAAGAAACCATTAAAGTTGACACCAGATCTTTTTTAAACTTGGAGATGGACCCTAGTGTTGCACTCATCAATTTTGTGCTGCACTGAGACTATATAGTGTCTATTAGACAGCAGCTCCACATGTTGTTTCAGTTGGTGTCAGACTCCAGGAAATCCAGAATGATCTTTGTAGCACATTTGTAGATGCTGCATTGTTTCAAAAAAGGGGGGGAAATATTGTCATATTTGTAGAATTCTACTCCAACATGGTACTCATGGTAACTGCATGTTCTATTACATTAGTTCTGATTTCTTCTTTTTCTAGACTCTATTCCAGAATTCTTTGGTTGAGGATGCTGTACAACTAGTAGGATTTTTGCAGTTATTTTTTCACTTTCAGGCAGTTGTTAATGGATGACCGAAACTAACCTGACTAAAAAAAAAAGCAGACCCTAACCCTAAAAGCATTTTGTTTGACCTTTTCCTTACTCGTGTTTTCATTAAGAAATGTACATACAGTATGTTTTTCAAGAAATGTATGTATTTTGTATTGCCTTTTCCTTATACATAGATTTTTGTCTTTAGTTAATTTTAGTTGTATATATTATTATTATTGTGTGTTTGTTTATTTAATATTGTATATTTTGACTTTTTGCACGGGAGTTGCAATAGAAATTTCGTTGAATCCTGTTCAATGACAATAAATGCTATTCTTCTTCTTCTCTTCTTCTTCTTGTTTTACATGTCCTTCTGTTCTCTTTTTACGTTGCCAGATGCATTTCTGCCTCATTATGCAAATGAGGAGTGGAGTTATCTTAAGGCTTCAACTTCTGCCTATTGGTTGCTCAACATCACTCTATGCAAAGCTCAAATCTGCTGTAATTGTAGCGTCCCGGTTGAATGGATGATCTCTCAAACTGATGGTTCACAACGTTTATTTAATGCCTTTTTATGTGAACACACCGTAAGAGCTACAGAACATACAAATAAAATACATTAATAACTCAAACAGTGTTGTTTTCACATTTTACTTTAACATATAAATCATTTTTCTTACATTCTGTAATTAAACCTGTCATAAAGTGCAACATATTAACTATTAACGGTTAATTAACGAATATTAGTGCCGTATAATAACACAACCGTCACACCCAAAGCAAATTACACATTTTACAGTAAAACTAAATATATATTTACATATTAAAAACTCTCACCTTGTTCCCCATCAACCAAGCGCCAACCAACCAACTGTATTTGAACCACTCCTTTATTAGCTTCACTCCAACCTGAGCGCTCTCTCTTTCTGCGCGATGACCAGCTGTTAATTGTCAGTTAATTGTCAGTTAATTGTCTAACGTTGGCGTCACACTTCACCACTCTTCCGTTTCAAACCCTTTCAAAATAAAAGCATAAATTCTTATGTTAACAAATACTCGTTTTTAAATGAGGAAACACAAAATACTAATAAGGTCATTTACAGTAATGGCTTCAACAACGATGTCGAACTATGATCAGTTTAACAGTGAGCTAAAGCTTAGCAACTCTATTGGAAGATAATAAAGTTGCTATAATTCTTTATTATCCATCCATCCATTTTCTTTACACCCTTGTTTCTCGTGGGTCAGGAGAGGTGCTGGTGCCTCTCATCTGTTAGCTTTATTGCTGGATTAAATAAAATACAAGGACTAAATCCATCAGGGACAGCTCTCAAAATTGATTCATCCAGCAATTATTTGCATTGACTGTGTGGACACTTAGTGGTGGATTTATAATTCTTTTCAGATAACTGCCATGATGCCCCTGTTTACAAAAGAAGTGATACAAGTATTGGCCAATAAATTAGAGCTGACCTTTCCCAGAGGATTTTTGTGTACACAAAAAGAAGAAAAAAAACACCTGTTAGTTGTTTAGAGTCAAATGTGTTGAATATTGGAGGTCCCAGCGCCATAAACAATGTTGAGTGAAAAACAGATTTTTTGATTAACATATTGATTTTCTTGATGAAAGAAAATCAATATGTACAAGAATATAGAAGGTGGTCATAGTTGTTGGGAATTTAGCTAAAAATAGAGGAAAATCCTGGAAGAAAAGCTGCAGACATGAAAATTGATGTTCACACATGATTTATGCATTCTGACTGAGCTTGAACTGCTTTGCAAACAGGAATAAGCACCGTCTCAGTCTCCAGATTTGCAAAGCTATTATTTGATTGAATTTGTCAAACTATCTGTGTTTGGCAGATACATTTCACTAACACTACTCAGAAGCACAAAGTTTTCAACAAAAAAACTTCATGTAGGAACAGGAAGTGTTCACTTTACTTTGTTACTGGGAAACTGAATAGGAAAATTCTGCCAAAACTAAAGTTCTTCTTCTCCCTCAATGTTTATCGATCCAGTGGCAAACCAACAATCTGCACAGTGTCCTACTAGTGAAATTGATAGATATACTTGTGTCTGAACTGCTCTTCATTCTGCTGTCTCTTAGATTGGACACTATGTCATTCTCTGGTCTTGTCTCATCTCAAGAACGAGGGAGACTTTTGGAGCATGAAGTTCACATGCTTCACTTACCCTAACCCTTCCTACCCACTTCCCTCATGCTCTCTTAAAATCCTGTCATTCCACACATTCATTCAAGGTCCAAATGAGAACATTAAAGTCAGCTTTGCTCTGTTGAGTTGAAGCATGATGATTGTGTGACTGCGTCTTTGTCATTGAGACCCGTCTGTGTTGAGATCAGAGGAAGTATTTTTAGGAAAGGGGGGCACTTTTGATAAGTGTGGATTTGTGAGAAGCTGAAAAAGCTCATTTGAAATGAAAACTTATAGAGTTTTTAGATTTTGATAAAGGTGAAATGTTTCAAGAAGAAGATATGAGCAATGAGAAATGACTAAATTTACCTCCATTAAAGCTACTTTATTCAGATTTTTTTGGTCTGAAATTGTGTTTCTTTGCAGGCTTTGTTGAAGATGGATTGTCAGGGTCTCGTGGCCAGGCTTGTCATGGACTTTGTCCTTCTGACCACCGCCGTGGAGGTGGCCGGACGATGGAGGGACCTAGCTGAGAAGCTGGCAAAGGTTTCCCGGCAGCAGATGGACGCCTATGAGGCACCGCACCGTGACAAGCATGGCGTGGTGGACAGTGAAGTAGGCCTGTTGGAACTTGTTGTTGTTGCTAAAGTATCCATTGAATGTTTTCATATTCAGTTCAATTAAAAAACAAAAGGGATTAATCAGCACAAATTTTGATGTATTCTATTGAAGGTTTGTGACCAACACACAACAGAGTTTAAACAAACACACTTGATGTGGTAGTTGATGAGATATTATATTTTAAGTGTCATCTATTTAGGACTCTACTAGGTTTTGCTAATCAATAAGTTAAAGTCAGATTGATTCCCCAAGATTTTGTTGATAATAGTTTGCTTAACTCAAGCACTTGTGCTTAATGTACAGTAAAAGTTAAAAGGAACAATATATGTAGAAAAAAGTCATCTTTTATGATGACATAGAAATAAAGGAAGAGTGAACATAATGTAGCATAACTGCAATTAATATTATCATTGCATAATTCTACAATAATATCACAGATTTAATGTGTTTTTAATATTATGCAAGTCTAGTTAAAGGAAAAACATAAAGTAGTCTGCTCTTCAGTTTTTCTTGAGCCACTTAGTGAAGAGAGCAAACCTGTGGAAAAAGGTCAAATATCACCCAAACTGAATTTTTTTCCTCATGCTCATGGTGAAACATGGTAATGGCAGCATCATGTTATGGGAGCACAACATGATGCTGCCATTATGAAGTTATATAGAGGATGATACTAAAGGGAGAACCTAATTCAATCTAGATTATCTTCCAAATATTCTCCATCCAAAGAATGTGCAAGAATTTGACTGTTTGTGTAAAGTCTGGAGAGACAAAACCCAAAAGATTTGAAGCTGTAATTTCAGTAATGCTTCTACAAACTTGATTGATTTCATGGGAACAAAATGTGGAAATGTTCAATGGGTATGAAAACCTTCTTAGTCATTGCCAGCAGGAGTCATGCTTAATACATCATGCAATATTTGCATTTCATGTCCACAGGCCATGTGGAAGCCAGCGTATGACTTCCTGGTCACGTGGGCTGCTCAGATCGGCGACAGTTACAGGGACGTGATCCAGGAGCTCCACATGGGCCTGGACAAGATGAAGAGCCCCATCACCAAACGCTGGAAGCACCCCACCGGCACGCTAATCCTGGTCAACTGCCTGGACCTCCTGCGGAGCTCCGCCTTCAGCTCTGCTTCTCAGGATGACAATGCCTTCTGAGTTTGAGCTGCACATCAACTGACTCTTCTTGAATGCCTGTATTTTCTGTTCATTGTCTGGTGGAACCCAAACAGACTTCTCCTAAGGTCTCCCTAGGACACACACACCCTAGGAACTACAGACAATGACATGTTGCACATGTAAGTATTTTCAACTCTAGTTTTTAGCACAAACTTTTTGTAGAGCAAAACTTTAAAACCTTTGATTAAGTACTGTGTTTCAAATTGAAGGATCACTTTTTCAAACTAAGACGTTTTACAGTCTCTATACAGTCTCTATGTTACAGTCTCACTCTGTATTTCATATGTACATGAAACCATAATGATCTTTTCCGGTCATGGTCCTTCTGACTTCAGACATTCAGCACCACTCTGTCTTGTTGGTATGGAAGATATTAAATCAAGTTTAATAAAAGAATTATTCATTCATCATTTGCAACAAGGTTTGACCCTGTTTAAGGACTTTGCTCAAGGTTTTTGAGATGGTTTTGTTTTTGTAACTGTGAGTGTGCTGAAATAACTTTTAACACTTTTTCCAGTTTTCCGTCTTTGTTTGATTAAGATTAACTTTGTAAGTTAATGACGTCTCTTTGTTTGAAGGAGGAGGTATGGTGGTTGAGGAAACTCCATTTTGAGAATTCAAAACCTTAAAAAATGTCCTTTTTTGTTGAATGTAATCCAACAGTTTTATAGGATGTTGCTCGAGCAAGAACTATTTTATGGGTCAATAAGAAGTCAGTCCAGAGTTTGAACAGGATACGAAGGAAGGGTGACATTAATCTTTCTGCAGTTCTTTGATGGATTTTGACCAAATGATACAGGATGAACAACTTACAAAAGGTTTCACCACTGTTTTAGTGTTTACTGGCTGGGCTCTAACAGACTTTGGGATTATCAGGATCTTTTTTTCTTTTTTTTTTTTAGCAAATGTATGGCACAGGTTTGTGGCATCTTTCTTTCGAAACCTTGAAGGTCACAGGAACTCTGAGGTAAGACAGGTCTGCAGTGCTTTAGATTTTGTTCTGTTGTAACCTTGATGCTCTCAGGGTATTTTTGGTTGGCTGGCCATGGGCACTCACTTTGCTGTAGTGTAGTTTCCTGAGTGACTGCGTCAGTGGCCTTAATCAAAATGAACTATCATTTTAAACAAGGACAGATACATTTTTAGCTTTAATGAGACTTTGATGTGACTAAAACCAAATTTCACTGTGTACCAGTTTTAAAAGAACAAGAACATGACAAATCTCAGCCTACAGCAGTGATGCTGAAGAAGAGTTTATCCAAAGATGCAGTTTGATCACTGTTCTGCACAGTGTGTTTAGTATTGTCATTAATTATTGTAAAACATTCTTGTACATTCTCTCGCAACAATCTTTATCCATTGAGTTACTTTCTTTAAATCTTTGCATCTGCTTCCCTGACAAATAGATGCAAACATTCAATGCTACATCCTGCTATCCACTATATCAATTATTTTGTAAACTAGCTGTTTGCATTTTCTCCTCTCCTTTACAAGCAGACATTGTTTTTGGTGAACATTAGACTTTCAAAAACTTGGAAGGTGATATAAAAACCTGCTGCCAAAAAATGTTGCCATGTGTTGGAAAGTAAAAAAATTAATGTTAGATAAAAAAAACATTTCTTAGCCATAATCAGAATGCTTTCATGTATTTTACCTTTTGGGTAATGTTGCCTTTGTTACCAACTGGTTCTTTATTTCTTATATTTTGTTCTTGAAGTTTGTATTTGGTTCAATTACAAATGTAATACAATAAAAATTTCAAAAATACAACATTTTTCGGAAGCATACTAAAGGGAAAATGAATTATACTATATTTTATGCATATTGGGATTGGTCTATCTGTCATTACCACTTGTTGCTACAGTTATACAAAATATATGATGTACTTTACTTTGCAAACAAACAAAGTTGGAGATTAAATTGCAGAAATGTGTGGTCAGAGATGAACAAGATTACCGCAAAAAGGAGGACATAGATGGAGCAAATGAGCTGAAGACATTCTTCAACACATTGAGTTCAGGAACAAACTCATCATCATCATCATCATCATCATGTCCTGCCCTCTACCATACAGACATCCCACCTTTCTGTGATCCACAGATTTCCTGTCAAACTACAGATGTCCTGCCTTCCACCTCAGTCATGGACGGCTGTTTCCACAAGTTTGACTTCAACCAAATCAGGACATGGTGTTGTCCCCTTTGATTCCTCCTCCCACTTTTCTGTACCTCAAAGTCATGTGAAGAGGCAGTTGGAGAGCAAGAACAAGGCTGGAGGTCCAGATGAAAGTCAGGTCCCTGTTGAAAATGAGATCCAGATCTCAACGAGGTTTACCTGGTTAAATAGAGGACATAAAAAATCATTTTAAAAAATGGTGACAGCCCCAGAATACTGAAGGCCTGACGTATTTTTAGGCCAAAGCTGCAAATAACTTGTTTTGTTTATATTATTATTATCATTTTCCACTGAAAATTGTAAATTTAGAGGCTGAAACATATTCAAAAACTTGTCCTCATGTTGCATGTAATTAAATGAGTTAATGCAATTGCCAGTGGGCATGGCCAAGATCCTCTACACTACGTTCCTATTCTGACAGAAGACAAACTGTGTGTCATCAAGATCGGAAACTTGGTACGAATGTAGATCCATGGGAATCAAGAAAAAATAAAGTCTCCTAGTTGTATGCTGTAAAATGTACAGGGAGGCAGCCATTTTGGGTCAATTTAATTATGATATATGTTCACGTGTACACACCTCAAACTTTAAACATAATATAAATCTATTGGCTTTATATTTGGTCAACATGCAGTTAAGACAAGGAGGTATTAAACGTTATCAAAATCATGAGTTTGTGAGCATGTTTAGGCCAACTTGAGAACTTTGTGTAGTAGCCGAGGCAAACGACATGCCATAACTTTCACATACAAAGGTTGAGTTGCCTTTGTAAATGAATCATTTTTTGGAAGCTCAACAATCCTCTACTGAGCTCCCTTAGAAAAGGAAGTGACTTTTTTTTCCTTGGAAGTCTCCATCTTCGATGCCCTTGATGTAATTGAGATGATCTTATGTCGTCAAGAGACAGATAAGTTGGTCTGACTTGCTTTAAAGTGCCAAGAGTGGAGGTGTGGCAGCACAACAAAGTCAGAGGTGACACTGTTGACATACGTTTGGCTCAAAATTTCAAATATTTTAGCCAAGCTGCCACAAACCAAGACTGATCCAAGTACCCCCCAACAAGAACAGTGGCGGAGCTAGACTTTTTTTTCAAGGGGTGGCCAAAGGGTGAGCAAGGCTTCATCAGAGGGTCCATATACAAATGATGAACAAAAGGAAACAAATATTTTCTCTCACACACTCAAATTAAAATGGTTTATTTAACAAAGATTTGCCATGACCAAACAAGACGTTAAACGGCTCTATGGACCAGTGAACATGTAAATGTAAACTCAGAGCCCAGAATATGACCAAAAACTAATTCTCAACAATAAATAAATAAATAAACTGGTGCTTCTGGTGTGCAATAGGTTGTGCTGGGTGGGGGCAGTTCAGTGCCATTTCCTTCTGCTTCACTGTCTTCCTCCCCAGAGTCTGACTCTGAATCTGTATCACCCTCATTTCTCTCTGGAACTTCATTGGAAATGCATAAACAGACACAATAAAAAATGCAAAAAGCATCATGCTAACCTTTAGAATTAGGCTTATTGGATTTTAATACTTAATAACTCTCTGTCACAGCCTCTAACCCGCTGGTGATACACTTGGGCCTGGAGTCTCCTGGCTGGATTCTCCAGGTTGGTCACTGCTGCAGGGTTCTGTATGGTCCTGGTCACTGCTGCAGGGTTCTGTCTGGTCCTGGTCACTGCTGCAGGGTTCTGTTTGGTCCTGGTCACTGCTGCAGGGTTCTGTCTGGTCCTGGTCACTGCTGCAGGGTTCTGTCTGGTCCTGGTCACTGCTGCAGGGTTCTGTCTGGTCCTGGTCACTGCTGCAGGGTTCTGTCTGGTCCTGGTCACTGCTGCAGGGTTCTGTCTGGTCCTGGTCCCTGCTGCAGGGTTCTGTCTGGTCCTGGTCACTGCTGCAAGGTTCTGTCTGGTCCTGGTCACTGCTGCAGGGTTCTGTCTGGTCCTGGTCACTGCTGCAGGGTTCTGTCTGGTCCTGGTCACTGCTGCAGGGTTCTGTCTGGTCCTGGTCACTGCTGCAGGGTTCTGTCTGGTCCTGGTCACTGCTGCAGGGTTCTGTCTGGTCCTGGTCACTGCTGCAGGGTTCTGTCTGGTCCTGGTCACTGCTGCAGGGTTCTGTCTGGTCCTGGTCACTGCTGCAGGGTTCTGTCTGGTCCTGGTCACTGCTGCAGGGTTCTGTCTGGTCCTGGTCACTGCTGCAGGGTTCTGTCTGGTCCTGGTCATTGCTGCAAGGTTCTGTCTGGTCCTGGTCACTGCTGCAAGGTTCTGTCTGGTCCTGGTCACTGCTGCAAGGTTCTGTCTGGTCCTGGTCACTGCTGCAGGGTTCTGTCTGGTCCTGGTCACTGCTGCAGGGTTCTGTCTGGTCCTGGTCACTGCTGCAGGGTTCTGTCTGGTCCTGGTCACTGCTGCAGGGTTCTGTCTGGTCCTGGTCACTGCTGCAGGGTTCTGTCTGGTCCTGGTCACTGCTGCAGGGTTCTGTCTGGTCCTGGTCACTGCTGCAGGGTTCTGTCTGGTCCTGGTTTTTGCCTCTTTAAGAAGAACTGGGAGATATTCCCTTCTCTCTTCATTTGGGCTCTACACAAAATAAGAGCCTGGTATTTAGACTCAATCACTGTTTGGTAGAGACACTATTTTAACTATTATTAAAACTATAGTTTTTAGTTTTCTGTAGCTAGCTAAAATAAAATTAAAAATAGATTAATTAAAATTAATTAATACGCCTCTCATTAGGAAGGTAACAGCGGTTACTGCTGAGCGTAAAATGTTAATACCTGCAGAACTCCTCAATGGTGTAACTCTAAAGCCGCGGATGTTTTGGATCAAGCAGGAACCAACATGTCAGTTAACCAATGAACAGCGTCGGGCATCGAGCTGCCTTCAGGGACAGTCGGAAATTAGTTTTCCTGGCAAATCTTTGCCGATCTCATAAGTATTATATTTTAAAATGACCATTTCCAGTGGAGTGGCAGTAGGGGTGGCCAGGGGTCTGTTGGGGGTGGCAAGTGCCACCCCGGCCACCCCTCTGGCTCCGCCACTGGAAGCCACAAAAAGAAACAAATATTTGATGGCTACATTGTTAACAAGTAAAAAAAAATATTACAAAAAAATGGTTATCACACGAGAAACCTACTTTAAATGACTGGATGGATATAACATTTAATATATATAAAATGGAAAAAATAACAGCCTCTCTCAGTCACAGGACTGAACAATTTGATTACTGGTGGCAGATCTGGATGAACTATGTACAGCCTAAGAGACCTGATTTTATCTTTAAAGACCTGATGGACGTTCTTACCAATCCATTCTCCAACGATAGCTATACTGCGTAGATCATTTTTACTTTTGTATGTTTTTTATTTATTTTATTTTTTTTACTCTTTCTCTCTTTGTAATCACTTTAAAATCCCTCTCAGGGAAGGGCAGTTACACTTTGATGTTACTGTTGTGAGGCAATGGTTTACTTGTATATCTTATTTCAAAGTTAATTTGGAGATGTAAATGCCCACTGTGATGTAGAGGGGCTTTCTTGGGAAACAATAAAGATATGATTTAAAAAAAAGGGGGGGGCATCAAGGATAAAAGGGGCAGGCTATCAAGCACCCCCCCCCCTCTGCACGGGCAGTTCAGTCGGGTTCTAGGAATGACTTAGACGTGAGACGTTTGGGGACTTCTGTGGTTAATCGGAGGCTCGTGAGGCGCTCGCATGCTGCCTCATCAGCACGTGTCTGTCCTGCAGGGGTGGAGCGTATCGAGGACTGTCTCTGATGTTCTGTCAGCCTCACATCAGAAACGGCTGCAGCAGCGACTGGAGAGGAGGGGTTGAATATCTGACTCGGAGCCGACGAAGGACGAGGCAGCAGCAGGGAATTGTGTTGCTATTGGACCGCTGGATCTGTGTGATTTCCTCATGCTTAATAACGATCACCTCTGGGAAATATTAGCTGACATCTCGGGAATCACAGATATATTTTGTGATTGTCTTTCAAAGCTGTGGCATTTGTAAGGAGTGTTTGAACTGTGGAGTTTTCCTCGTCATCAAATGGATGCAAGTGCGTGAGGGGAATACTTATAAACGGCGCGTTGCGTCCTGCGGAGGCACGCCGCTTCCTTTTCCATTGCTGCTCCCAAGAGCCAAGCGCAGCCCATCAAGCCCCTCACTGTTTGTCGACCTGCGGAATTTTACGACCTCAACCCGGGAATTAACGAGTCTGAGCTGCGGAACCTTCATTTCCAGTTTTGGGGGAGGGTGGATCCAATCCTCCTGCGTGGGAGGGGGTGCAGGGTGCATCAAAATGGGGAACAGCTTCTCCAACATATCTGCCTTCCAGTCGCTTCACATCGTCATGCTGGGTTTGGACTCTGCCGGTAAGACCACAGTTCTTTATAGATTGAAATTTAATGAATTCGTCAACACAGTCCCCACAATCGGTTTCAACACGGAGAAGATCAGGCTGAGTAACGGCACAGCGAAGGGCATCAGCTGTCACTTTTGGGACGTGGGGGGACAGGAGAAGCTGCGGCCCCTGTGGAAGTCCTACAGCCGCTGCACAGACGGCATCATCTACGTGGTGGACTCGGTGGACGTGGACCGGCTGGAGGAGGCCAAGACCGAGCTGCATAAGGTCACGAAGTTCACGGAGAACCAGGGCACACCTCTGCTGGTCATCGCCAACAAGCAGGACCTGCCGAAGTCCCTGCCAGTGGCTGACATCGAGAAGCAGCTGGCCCTGCACGAGCTCGCGCCCTCCACCACCTACCACGTTCAACCCGCGTGCGCCATCATAGGAGAGGGGCTTCACGAGGGCATGGACAAGCTGTATGAGATGATCATGAAGAGGAGGAAGTCTCTGAAGCAGAAGAAGAAGCAGCGGTAACAGTGGCTGGAGCTGGACTCGGTTTCTACCTGACTTACTGTGACAAATCCTGGGTTCTGCCATTTGTGGCACCCAGGTGGGTTGATTTCTGTTTTCTTCCATCCTGTGTTTCCAATGAAACCTGTTAAGCCCTTCTGAGTGATGCTTTTGCACACAGAAAGCTGAAAGCTGCAGGGTTGAGAACAGAACATTAAACCAAAACAAAAAAGAGCTATGATCCAGAAACTTTGTCAGAGAAACGGGCTGGCCTGTTTCATCTTGAAAGTAACAGTTTGGATGTTTTGAATTTAGATTCTGTTATATTATCTCACCTCTAGCAGACAGATTTCATATTGCAAAGAGTTGGATAAAAGTGAGGAAATTGTAAGAGGGATGGAAGGCTAACAGCTAGTCAGATCTGTAACTATTAGAGCAACTGAAACTAGAAATAGTTAGATTTGTGGGATTCAACAACATGTTCCCACTAGAGGCCTGCTAAGTTTGCTGTTTAACATTCAAAGAAAGTAAAAAGTTTTTAGCTAAAGTTGTGGATTGATACTGTTGTCTAGGCACATAGATTGATAACCAAAAAAATACACCTGCGTCAGTTTTTTCCACCTTTGTCCTCCATCTTTTTGTTAGTAGCATGTCCAATAAAACTGTGTTAGTTTTACACAGAATTATACGCCCCTGTTTTTTTTATTAATGGATGTAATGCTAACACAGTATTTTAGAGGTTCCCAAAAACAATAAATAAATAAAACAAGAGATGATAAGAATGTTTTTATCTGTAGTTATAGGACTATAGGATTTTTTGATATAGATATAACCAAAACAAAATTTGAAAACAAAGATAGCATAAACTTAACATTCTTTAGAAATATTCCAAATCAAGGCCAAGCACAGTTAAAGTTACTCTGGGTTTTGGTAAAGGCTATCTGTGGTGTTTCAGCATCAACTCTGTTTTTTTTCCAACTTCCAGGAAATGATCTTTATGTATTTACTCACTATTAGCTAACTGTGCGGATTCATACAACAGACAGCCTCAATCAAACTTTAGCCAACTAATGTGAGCGATTTTAGGAGAGAAGTTAGAAAGTCTCTTAAAGGTGCAGTTACATAACTTTTATGGAAAACATACATATTTATTAAAACTCTCACCATATCGTAACAATATCTTATGACAACAGATCATTTGTGAATAAACTGATCTCCTCCCCCTCCTCACTGAGTAACTATTGTTGCCATGTGAAGAAATGCACCAATCCAGACCAGAAAGAACTAGATCTATGATGAGTCATGATAAACAATAAATCAAATAATTGCATGATAAATTAAAATGATCAACATCATTTTAATTGATCGGCTTTATGGTTTCTTTCTGCCCTTTTCTCTTTGCATTGATGACACTGGATAAAAAACTCTGGTGCTCTCCACTGACCCTTCACTTCCTCCTTTTCTTAGCGTAAGGGAGGATTGAGGAGTCTGATATGGCCATCTTCTCTATCTAATGATTATTGAAGGGTAATATATTGTACAGACTTTAATCTCTGTACTCTTTTGGTTCAATGTAGTTTTTATTTGATGTTGTGTTTAGTTGTTATTCAAGTAAATTTTTGTTAAATGGACACTGAGAGTCCTTTTTTTGTTTTCGGTTGTTTTGTTTATTGAGTTTACCATTTCCAGTGTTAAATGTTCTTTTGAAAATAAAGTGTATTTATTTTGGCAGAATGGGGTTGCATTATTATGTCATTACCATTACATCAGTTTAAAATGATCTTCAAAAAATATATTATTTTTCAGACTAATTTTTGAGGCAATGCAAAATTTGTTATCCTGACAATTCACAAATTATCTGTTTCATACCATACTGTCACAACATAGTGACAGTTCCAACAAATATGTATAAAAATGTTTTTCTAAAAGTTACATTCTGCAGCTTTAAAATATGGAAAATAAAATAAAATCCACTCTAAACTATGGACAGCTCATTCTGCCAATGTATGGCCAGTTTCAGTTCATTTTAGGGATTACAAAAATCTGAAAACAAGGTCTTTAAAATATAACAGCAATTTTTTTTTATCAGGTTAGTAGTTAGACTTCCCCCTCTTTGAGGATTTCACCACTTTTGTTTAAGTTCATTGTAATTTGTTGTGGAAAAAATTCTTATAAAGCAATTTTATGCAGATGTTTTATCTGCATTCCACATAAAACATCTGGACTAACCCTTCAATGCTGAAGAAGCTGCAGCTCATTGGGATTTCATTAACTGACTCAGATACCTTTATTTCCATCCACAGGTGACATTTCTCTTTTTATGTTTCCTCACAAATATGGACAGTATCAGTTGAACACTGTGGGTGCCACACAGGCTGCTCTTGTTTTTGTTTTACTATTTGGAGTAATGAAGTACCCTTTCCACTTATTGATGGACTGAGGACATCATGTACTACTTTACATTTTTCAGTTACTAACAAACCAATAGGAATCCACACAGTATGAATATAGCAGCATGTAAAAGTTATGTCCCAAGAAGGGAAAATTGGAAGTATTTTTTAAATATTAAACAATTTTAATCCCGGAATTTGGATAATTCAGTTTGTCTTTGTGTATTGTGATGTAGCCCCCAGAAGGGCTAAGACCCAGGAGAAGATATTCGTTTGTGCGTTTTATAAATCTAACTGCTTATTTGCATACATTCACAAACAAAATTAAGAGAATAAAAGAGCAATGTTCATTTTACTCAAGCATAAACTTATAAAGAGTAAAATTAGAGAAACTTAATATTTTCCAGAGGTGTAGGTACTCAGTTTGAAACAGAATCTCAAGACTACATCATACCTGCCAACATCTGCTAACATTAATGAGATCCATGCAGATGTGGAGTGACACAGTCCTAGTGTGGTCTGCTCCCCTGGAAAATAAAATAAAATCCACTCTAAACTATTTGAAGAAGATTTTACTAAAATCATTTTATTATCAAGGTAGAAGTTCAGGTAAATGACTCATGAAAACTCGTCATTAGCCAGAACTTTATTTGAAATTCATACTTCGAAACTGCATTACTCTTATTTCTGTCAGAATATTATGCAACTTTTGGCCTTTTTTTTTTTAAATAAGAATGTTTGTCCATCTATGGAAAAGTGAACATTATGGGTCGAGTTTTACTATTTCAGTTCACATCTATCATAGTTTCAGTACCAAACATCTTTCTGTTCACAGACACAGACTAACACTCTGCACTGTTCTTTAGTTTTACTTTATTTAAGTGAGAGCAATAAGAACCAGGATCAGACTAACCCATTATTTATTATATTTTTTTGCCTATATACACAATGTTGCACTGAACTACAAAATAATCTTCAAATAAATAAATCCAATACTGTACACAATTTTCATTCATAAATATAAAATAATTCTAAATTAAGTACTGCATTGCTAATTAAAATTGCAATGCCATTTGAATTGAAGTGCTGATGATACAAGTCTGCCCCCTCTATATATATATTTATATCAATCAATGTTCACAGTTTCTGTAACAGCTATATTTTGTGTAGTGTGTGTTATTGCTTTTAATTTGTGTCCCTTTAAGAACGATAGCAGTACTTATAGCAGTAGTATAGCAGTACTTTACGGCAGTACTTTACAGCAGTACGTTACGGCAGTACTTTACAGCACTACGTTACGGCAGTACTTTACGGCAGTACTTTACAGCAGTACTTTACAGCAGTACTTTACGGCAGTACTTTACGGCAGTACTTTACAGCAGTACTTTACAGCAGTACTTTACAGCAGTACTTTACGGCAGTACTTTACAGCACTACGTTACGGCAGTACTTTACAGCAGTACTTTACAGCAGTACTTTACAGCAGTACTTTACGGCAGTACTTTACAGCAGTACTTTACAGCAGTACTTTACGGCAGTACTTTACGGCAGCATTCTGACTGCAGTAGCTATGGAAACTCCCGTGCTTAGAAGTTTCAGAGCTGCTGCAGAACTGAGACATGCCAGTTTCTGCCCAGCTTCTGCATATGACCTGACTTCTTCATGCCTCATATATGTTTTCATATGTTTTCCTGCTAGAGCTTCGTTGTTATTGTGGCTGATTCATTAGGAATCTGTTCTTGTTCCTGCGGAGGAAGAGAGAGAAGCTGCTAAGTTCCCAGGTCTGTGGACGCTGACTGCCATCTCATTCTGGGTCTCCATCCCAGTCAGAACCACCTCGAGCATCCATCTTTTCGTTTGCATCACACACACAAATATAGAGCTCTATATCAACAATATTTGTTTTTTATTGCTGGCCAGCATCTTTTATTTTTTTCTTACCAAGGACCATGAATGGATTCTCCGAGAGATAACTTGTGTCTATTTTCAAATTTATAAGACTTCCTACTGAGAGTATTTCACTCATGTTTGGAGTGAATGTTGTTTTTTTTGTTTGTTTGTTTTGTTGATGTTTTTGAGGTAAACTCTGACTGAGTTAAGACAAGGTTGCATGTGTTTCAGTCCATTACTTTGTAATAAATCTAACTGGTTGATAGTTAACTGCTATCTGAACCTGAGTGAATTCTACTCTTTGGTTTCACTTCCATCCCCACTGAAATTGTTCAGCTTATAATGCCCGTTTTTTCACACATGTTTGTATTTTTTAAAGCATATTTTCTTCAACGGACATGGAATCAGGTAGAGGACGATATAAAAAGATGCAGGACGATAGCTCACAGCTGCTGCACTGTGAGCTATCGCTGAAACGCTGAAACTCGTGAAGCATGAGGTTCAGCGTTGGTCCGTAGAGTTCAGAGGTCCTTCAGCTCCAGCCACGACCGTGTAGCTGACCTTAATATTTCCTGTCCTTTATTTTAGCCATTCTTGTTAAACTTAGTGTTGATGTGTTTATTATAGGCGTGTCTATCAGACAGTTATGTATCGGTTCAATGTGGGACGCACATTTAACGACCAAATATAGGACAACTGTGTATTTTACTGGACAGGTGGCAATCCTATTCAGGGGTCCTGAGATACAGTTTTAGGGCGAGATACGCCACTGTGGCAGACTGTGATTGGTGACAAAGAGGTGACTTTATTTAAATAAATCAGATTATCCCAGTTGAGAACCAAAAGTTACATTGTTCAAAGTTAAGTGTAACCTGGTGTGTGGGAGAAAAAAATGAGCCAGTTTTGAAATCAGAGCATGCAAAGGAGCTTCAGAACAAACTGCAGGCTGTTGTTTAAATTTATAGATCTGCACTGCGGCAGGCAGGACTCAGACTGTGTCAGCACCCATCAGATTTATCTCTAAATGACTTTTTATTCTCATTTGATGGTTAGTATTGGATGTGAATAAAGTTTAACATATAAACTCACCAGCCATTTTATTAGGTACACATGTCCAACTGCTCATGAACACAAATATTCAATCAGTCAATCACCTGGAAGCAACTCAATGCATTTAGACATGGTCAAGACCATCTGCTGCACTTCAAACTGAGCATCAGAACGAGGAAGAAAGGTGATTTACGTTACTTTGAACGTGGCATGGTTGTCGGTGCCAGCTTGGCTGGTCGGAGTATTTCAGAAACTGCTGATCTACTATGATTTTCATGATTAATCATCTGTAGGGTTTACAGAAAATTGTCTGAAAAAAGAAAAGATCCATTTGCGTGGAATGTGGATGCAAATGCCTTGTTGATGCCAGAGATCAGAGAATGGCCAGACTGGTTTCAGCTGATAGTGACACGTTGGGTTCTAATTGTCTTGCCCACATGCAGAAACAGAAAGTTAGTACCATTGCTGGCAAACACTCAGCTCCTCTTGAACCCCAGAGATGATAGGAGATGCATATCAGGTGTGCTGAAGCCTGACACGCCCCGCCGGGAGGTGCAGCCTCTGGTGTAATCTAGTGGACAGTCGGAGAAGGACCTAAGAACCCCTGGTTCCCAACAGATAGAACAGGAACATTAACCCAAATAACCACTCATTACAACAGAGATATGCAGAAGAGCATCTCTGAGCACACAACACATCTAAGCTTGAGGTGTTACATGGGCTACAGCAGCAGGAGACCACACCAGGAGCCACTCTGTCAGCTAAAAACAGGAAACTGAGGCTACAGTTCACACAGGCTCACCAAAGTGGGACAACAGAAGATTTAAAAACGTTGCCTGGTCTGATGAGCCTTGATTTCTGCTGTGACATTCGGATGATAGGGTCGGAATTTAAAACATCAGACACAACATGAAAGCAGGGATCCATCCTGCTTTGTGTCAATAGTTCAGGCTGGCGGTGGTGCAATGGGAGAGGAGACGGAGGAATGCAGCACATACATTAATTCAAAATTGATTACCAATTTTTTCCAACCCTGGTCCTCAAGGTACTCTGCCTTGCGTCTTCTAGATGTTCCTCTGCTTCAACACACCCCATTCAGATTGTTGGAATTCAGCAAAACGTTGTTAATCAGCCACCAATTGAAATCATGTGTATGTAAGAACACAAGTTTGATCCACCATCAATTGTGAACTTTAATCATTTAATCATAATTTCGACCTTTTCGATCATAGTTCAACTTTGAATTAACATCTTTTGCAATCTGTAAACAACCCAACAGTGAAGGTGCTGTGTGGTTGGGACATACCACTCATGTAAATGGGGTGCTGGACAGCTGCGCTCCTTATGGAGACT